ATTTTAAAAAAAAAGATTTTTTTTAAAAGAAAAAAAAACAAGAAATAAAAAAAACAATTGGACAGAGCTAGCAGTGACAGCTAGCTCCACCCAACTTTTTCCTATTGGCCAATGATTAACAACTGGGCGGAGCTGGCTGTGAAGTCCGCCCAGTTGTAATTGTTTAATGACAGTTCAGCTGGGGATGCTGATCTGTCATTGCACCTGGGTGATGACTTGCCAGTTACACCAGTCTTTATTTTACCTGCTTGCAAAATGAATTCACTTAAAATACAAAAGATTATTATTATTTTCATTCCCAGGGATTGGTGGATTCAGACCTTTCTGCTGAGCTGTGGTATGTTACCTCATGCATGTTAGTGTGCGATATTTGGCATGTTAGTTTACATTGTGGTAAGGCAGCCTATTCATTTTGAATGTTCAGAAATAAAGGGCACCAAACCAAAAGGTGAAAGAGTTCAAACAGGCCTTTAATTGTTCCAAAACGATTCAGCAAAAAAACAGCCAATGTGTTTCGGGGGCAACAACACTAACACTCCCCCTTCATCAGGGCTACAAGACAAACATATAGCATAATCAGGGCCGGTGCTAGGATTCGTGCCTACACAGGCAAGGTGTACCATGTTTCCTGCATTACCGTAAATTGTAGAAATGCACGGTAAAATGCTCATTTATTGTACGTTACAAAAAGGCACACATCTAACCCTGGCCTTAGAGATTTACTGATTAGACAGAGACAGATCTAATTTTGTACATACTACTGGCTGATTTAACCACTCATTTCTAATAACTCCATTGAAACAGCTAATTGATTTAAACGTATTACAAATAAAGTGATTACCAACAACAGGCTAAATTTCTCAGTAGCATGAGATTACCCCCCCCCCCCTTTCTTATAGATTCACTCTAACCCACAAGTTTGCAGTCCCTGGAAAATTATATTTAAATGTCAACTGTAAGTAAGATTAGCATCAAATCAACTCTGAATTGATGTAAAATTCATTGTCCTTCTTGTTCCCTTTTAAAGGAGGTCAAATCCCATCATTAATGATTAATGAACATATGAAAGAGTGCTCTTTAGTATTCAGCAAATAGCTGACAAGGACATATTAAATCAAAGGGTAACAACCAGGACTGAAAGGACAATAGTTATATTATGGAAAGTATAATATAGTATCTACATTCATGTAGTTTAGTTATTTAGAGAGTGTGATACAGAATGCATTTGTAGTCAGTTTCAAACACTCCTTAGCTCACAATAATTGTCTTTTAGGTCATTTTACAAACATTAATAGTAAACTGCACAGTTCATCTGATTTATCTTAATAATTTATAGAATCAAGAAGCACTTATACCAAAACGTTGTGATGTTCTGTTCACAGTAACCTACATGCTAAAATGCTGAGATCCCCCTCTGACTTCCAACCTCAGGACATTCTTCCTTCCATGGGCACTGATGCCATGCATTGTTTTTCCTCACACTGATCACTAACACCAGACATTCTCCCTCCTGCAAACTACTGATGCTGGCCATTTTCCCATCCCATTAACCACTAACGTTGGGCATTTTTTCTCCCAAAGATACCAGGGCATTTTTTTCCTCCCAGGGACTACTATCTCCAGGGTATTTCGGACCCCCTTTCTCCTCATACACACACGCTGGCATTAAGAATTTTCCAAACACTGACCAGTCTTGTGAGGAACCCTATGATACATATTCCTCACAGCTGAACTCCATATGCTGTGTGGTTCATCACATAGACCTGACCACTGCACTCTGATTGCTATGTTGCGCTTTACCTAGCCCTGACCAAAGTGTTTATTTTCTTAAGAGTTGCTGTTCTTCAACAATTATAATTCAGTTCTCAGGCAAAGTGTTAGCTCTCTGTCTCAAGCTGCCCATACACCTAAAGAGTATTGTACGATAATCGCGTGTGATTATCGCCAGGTGTATGGGCAGCGTGCGACCGCATTTACTGTAAGGTCGCACAACTTTTTTATTACAAACACGGTAGAAAACCCGCCGAAAATTGTATGATTTTTTGGCGGGTTGGTAGCGCAATCACAAGGTGAAAGCCGCACGGGCCAAGGTGCGCAAGCGCACACTGCCCGCTCACCCTTGCAATCATCTGCAAGCCCTTCCCTCAGCGGGGAGGGCCTGCGATGATCGCAAGTACGATCTGCCTTTCCAAGATGGGCAGGTCGTACAAAATGTTTATCGCCTTACAACCATCGCACAACGAAAGTCGTTAGTTCTCTGCATATTCGGCTGAGCCAAAGTGCAGATGCCGTTTGACTCAGCCAATCCAACATCTGGATCGGTCCGGCAGTACACTCGCTGCCGTTTGCCCCTATTCTCATAGGGGTCGAATGGCAGTGAGTGAACAGCCGAATGCCGCTAAGCGACATTTGGCTCGGCTATTCTGCTCGTTACCTCAGACAAAGTTAAACAAATGAAAAAAAAATTATAAAAAATTATTGAAATAATATAAATGATCAAGTTAACACAATTTGGCTGCAAAAGCGGAAATACACTTCAATAATGTTAGTACTTATGTGACATTCTTGTAGTTAGAAGACTCACAGTTACATTGTAAATAAACAAAAGGGGCTGCACCAATTATGTAATGTTGCATTAAAAGAGAACTATGTGGTAAGTGTTTTTCCCCATAGTTCTCCTCAGGGTCACGGGAGGACGCTAGTTTATGTCCTCCCGTGAGGGACATGATCGAGAAGTGAGTGAGCGACGGTATGTCTTTGCTTACTTCCCGATCTATTGAGCCGACGTGTGACAGTTTCATTGTCAAATGTCGGCTCGAACTATGTGGTTGAGAGAAAATCGCGCACCTCATAATTCTCCTTTAAGGAAAGTTACTGGAAAAGATTTTTGTTTCTTTCTTTTTCTATATAACCTAAAAGGCCTTTTTGATTTAATGTATTCAATACTCTTTGTATTCAAATCTGCTACAGAATTAAAAGGATACCTGCAGACAAATTCATCCAGCAGTAGACCGTCCACCTCTCAGTAGCGGAATACAAGGCTAATGACAATATTTTAGTAATTTGTAAAAAGAGAAAGTCAGCACTCACCAAAAAAACCTCACACTTTTAATGAGATCAAAGCAGATAAATCATATAGTGGAAGCAAGCTTAATACCAATGTTTCAGGGCCACAAAGGACCCCTTTCTCAAGGTACCAAGGTGTGTTGTTGAGAAAGGAGTCCTTCATGACTCCGAAACGTTGGTATTAAGCTTGCTTCCATTATATGATTTATCTGCTTTGATCTCATTAAACGTGTGAGGTTTTTATGGTGAGTGCTGACTTTTTCTTTAAAATAAAATCTGTCCTGACAGACATTGAACATGGCTGACATTGTTGACCTTCTGATCATTTCTAGTTGCCTGGCTTACTCTGGGTTCAATGCTTTCTGAGTCACTGATCCAGAATAAGCATACAGCTAGCATAGTCAGAGACATCAAAACTTCTGTCCTGCATGGTTGTTCTGCATCTATGACTCAGAAAACATTATAGCTATTGGACTAGCCTGACATCCAGGAAACTAGCCCTTTCAGGAAGGGAGGTCAGTAATGGCAGTCGAAATATTTATTATTATTATTATTATTATACAGGATTTATATAGCGCCAACATTTTGTGCAGTGCTTTACAATATAAGGAAGACATTACAATCACAATACAATTCAAGACAAGATGGCAAGGAGGGCCCTGCCCGTGAGGGCTTACAATCTAATATTTACCCACTACAGGTTTCCATTACAGTGCAACTGCAGCCTTTGGCATTCAGAAAATATATAATGTTGGGGGGTTTTATGTCATTTTCAGGCCTAAAATGTGGAATATAACATGGGTGCAAAAATGGAAAAAAGGGCCTCAGTCATGAAGGGGTTAAAACATTTATTTTGGATAGAGTGGAGAGGGATTAGAACATCTGTCAGGTTTTTATTGCTGTCTGTGTCCCCACTAGGCAGATTCTTTGGGGCGTATTTGCCACGCGTATCCATTGGGATACAGCCAGGTAGCCCTCGGAAACGCACGTTTTTTTACCGTGAACCGCGGTAAAAACGCGCGGCACAAAACATGCGACAAATGCGCATATTCGAAACGCCCAGGTGTGAACCCAGCCTAAAGGGTGAAGAGTTTGGAGAAGGCAGGAGAAGTGAACAATCTAGGACAAGATAGCCGAATTGGACACATTCTCCAATTCAGCTCACTTTCGGTTCAGCTATGTTGTCCTAGATTGTTCACTTCTCCTGCCTTCTCCAAACTCTTCACCCTTTAGTGCATAACCCTGTAAATCTCAGAATTGTAAGATTCTATGTCATAATTATTAAAGCTGAACTTCCGGATAAGCAAATGTTGTTTAAATTCATGAATGTTGTGCTATTATTACTAGTATCTTGGGGTGCTTTGTGTTTTATTCCAGATCTGTGCAGTAATCCAGTGTGAAACAACTCCAGAACTCTGTCTCTGCGCAGGAGCTTCCTGTAATAAAGACCAGTCACTGCTGCTCTCTCTCCTTGTGCAGGGTGACAGGTCTTGTATACGCCCCCTCCTGTAGTTTTTCTGAAGTTAGCCAGTGGTGTACTCTGTGCACAGGTTATGTGCAGCACAGTGGTGATGCCGCTACTACTTTTACAAGGGTATATCTGGGTTTACAAATGCAGTTGGTGCACACACAGTGGCTCTATATCATTTGTGGCTATTTAGGAATATTTGTGCCTGCAGTACAGCTTTAACGTTTGTTTTCTTTGGCTCCTCTGCATAGTTCCATAGCTAATTGCCTGTATATGTGTATACATAACGTTTCTCCCAACCGTGTTATATGTATGAAATATTATATGTTACACGTATGACAAATTTTCTTATACAGCTCCCTATTCTGTCCATAACATCTGTTCGCACTGACAGCCCTTCCCCCTCTGTGTCTCCCTTTGCAGGGTCTACCCGCCTGTCCGTCATCCAGCCACAGGACGAGAAGGGGGCGTGACTGACACTTCCCTCGGCTTGCCAATCAACCAGTTGTAAGAAGCAGTGGGCGGGACGAGCATCTGTCTGACTGACGAGATTGGGCGGAGCTACGAAGTCCGGGCGTTCCGACGTCACCACGCACAGTAGGAGGACGCCCGGAGCATGGGTCGGAAGCGGTGCGTGGGAGACTGTTCCAAGATGGCGGCGGGCTGCTGCGGGGTGAAGAAGCAGAAACTGTCCAGCTCTCCGCCGTCTGGCTCAGGGGGCCCGGGCGGCTTGCACTGCAACGGGGAGAGCCAGTGCCGCGGGGCGGAGCTGGGGCTCGGAGGCTCCGGGAGCGGGCCCGGTGGAAGCAGCCGGGTGAACGGCCTGGCTTGTGGGAACAGCCTATCCCCGGGCTGCGGGACTCTCTCTTCGGGCTGTGGCTCCAGCTTAAGTCCAGGCTCCCGCAAGATGGTGGTCTCCGCCGAGATGTGCTGCTTCTGCTTCGACGTTCTCTATTGCCACCTGTATGGGTACCAGCCGCCACGCACACCTCGCTTCACCAATGACCCATAGTAAGTGCCGGGCGTAGGGGGGGATGGGGAGCTCTCTGGCAGATCACAAGGAGGGATTAGGATTCTATATGATATAATGACCGACAGAACCAGGACAGGCGGCAATAACCCCACAGGCCAGTAGCCAGGAATCCCATCCAAACTTATCTGCTTACAGGAAACTTCCACCGGTTGCTATGGGTTACTGCAGTTTATGCCAAACAATTGGATTGTTTTCATTGCTTTGTTAGGCGTGAGAGTGTTAGGAGGGGTACATGTGACAGGCATGCACATTCCATTGTCATGAATACCTGGCAGCAGGGTAGGCTGACTTCAGGAGACTTTTCATTCAATCTGTTATGTGTTGGAGCCCTGAATAGTTCCAAACTGCCAATCAATATATATATATATTCACACAATCACTAAATGGAGACTAGCCTCATTTTTTTGTTCTGTAGTGCAAGTTACAATAGTGAATACCCTCTGGCCGAATAACATTTATTTTGATCATCTGAAACAATTGTAATTTTGTTACAAAGTGCATGTTTTCACCTCATTTCCATCCTTTGCTGTATGTCAGCAATGATGGTCTCTTTGCTGCCACTTCTATTTACATGCACTCCACAATCATTACCTAACATTTCTCAGGGTGGGTTTCTTGATGGCCGCAACAGAGGATGGCCACTTCTTCACCAGAAGCCCGTGTGACGGTGACAACGCAGGTGCACAAGTGGGAGGAAGGGACAGTGTTGTCATGCTAGTACAAGAAATGCCTTTATGGCAGGATCACTGAGTATTCTTTTAGTGAAAGCAGTAGATTCAAAAATATCTGAAATGACAACGTTTACATGTTGAAGCTTATATGGGGTGTTAGTGTGGGTGAGATCTATATATCTATAGATATCTATATATAGATATATCTATAGATCTCTATCTATATAGATAAATAGATATATCTATAGATAGCTATAGATCTATAGCTATCTATAGATATCTATAGCTATATATATTGATATCTATATAAAATCTGTGTGCATACACACACACACTTAGTAGACACTATGCTGTACCTCAGCATTTTACCAGACGCCTAGTGGCCCTCCACACCACAATTTTTCTGTTTGTACTAGATCTGGTCGGCATCAGCAGTAAGGTGCTGAATGTTGACATTGTAAGAGAGGAAAGGGGAGGGGGGATTAAAGGAAACAGGAGAAAGGGAAGAGCCTAGAGCAAAGGAAAGAATAGCCAAGGATTACTGTAAAGAAAAGCTTTGTATAAGGCTGTATAGCCAGAATTCATACAAGAAAATACTTTTGGGTGTACTTGTTCCTATGATGTCATGTTTGCGTGCCTACAGTGGACCTTTACCCCCTTCCACAAAAAAATCACAACATGACTTACAAACATTTTACATTCCTAAGTTAAACAAAAAACAAACCTGTTTTTCATTTACTTAAATAGAGTTCATCTACTTTCTGGTCCAGTTCTGGCACAAATAATTTAAGTGATAAGTGGGGGGGGGGCTGATGTAACCTTGGGAAGGTTACATCAGCAGAGCATTGCTGGGAAATGTCATCAGTAATTTCAGGAGATCTCAGTGAAAGATATTTTCCTCTCTTGAGATGATGTACATGATCACATGTCCTAGTCACATGTGCTAGAGTTCCAGGAAGTAGAGAGAGTAATCCGCCCTTAGTAATGGCCACTGTCAAAAGACTGGGAGAGAAATAAGGAATGTAAAGAATACAAAGCCTGCAGTTATCTAGAAGTATCTGTTTGTAGATTGTCATTGCTAAACATTTCTAAAGGTGTGTTTGTTTTAAAGATATGGGTGAAGGTCCTCTTTGATAAGTCATATTTAAAGGATACTAATGGCAACAAAGCGAGCAACAATGTCTACCTTTTTAAAGTAATTATGTGAGCACCCTAAAGGCAGTGAACAGGTTTTGGCAGTAACACTTAGGCACCGCTCCGTGGCTGCGCATACTCCTAATTCTCCTTTCCAGCCCTAAGGAACCTCCATGGTCTGGGGTGCTGTAATACTATTTCAGATGCTTCCTGATTGTGTCAGACTGCTTTGCCACCTCACACTAGTTCTTTGGCCAACAAGGACATCCATCATAGTAATGGGCCATCAGTAACAGAAATTTAGGGCTCGTCGAAAGGTGTTAAAAAAAAAACATAAGGGAGAATTTATCAAAACTGGAGCAGACAGAATCTAGAGCAGTTGCCCGCAGTAACCAATCGGCTTTTCTTCAGTTCAGTTAAACTTTGAAAATGAAAGATCCCTATCCTTGGACGCATGATCGATGGGTCCAGGGATAGCGATTGATTCCCAAGCGCGTGTTATAGTATCACCTAAGATTACATGCAGTGTTTCGGTGTTCTGCCACTATCAAATTCAGCCGCTGTCACCCGATTATACATTTGTACAGTCGCAGCTGCCGCTTGTATACAACAGATCTGATTTCTGCTGCAGGAAATTGCAAGTTCCTGCTGCAGGAATACCAAATCGTACCTAAACTATAGGTGTGACTGGAGCCTTAACACGAGCAAAGTTCGTTACTGACATGTCTGGCATCAGCTTATCAGGGGTATAATTTGGGAAAAGTTCTATAATCTGTCAGATTATCATTGCTCCGATTAACCTTGGCCAGCAACGTCTGCTGGTGTTGTATAGAATTTAGATTCCAGTCTGGTCATCATCTTTCTGGGTAATATTACATGTTTGTGAAGATTTGTGAACTTGGAAGCCATATTTTATTTCAATCCAGCAGGTGAAGCTTTAATTTTCTTTTTCTTACATGTTCTTTAGGCCAGGACTGCACAGTTCTTAGTGCAAGTAGACTTGTGCGTTTTGTTCCGAATCGAAATTCGGATGTTTCGGAATAACAGATATAACGAATTTCTGATTGGGAAATTCGTTAGCGATAGTCTGGACGAACTTGCAAAATGACATTGGAAAAAAAAAAAGTTTCCGAATGCCATTCAGGTCTGTGAGCCAAGGTGTCATAATGCTTTTCATATGACACCTTGGCTCAGCCGAATGGCATTGGCGAGTTCCCGAACGCTATGTAGTATTTGACAGCTGAGAATGTAATTTTGCGGCGAGTTTTTGTCGGGTTCGGACGGTCATCGTGTGGCAGGACTTTTTTTATTTCGGGGGCCGTTGTGCATCTTGATTGACGCTGGATTACATCGATGGAGCCATTTTTTTTTAAAATAAAAGGAATAGTCAAAAATTTGTCTTTTTTTTTTTCCAATTAAAGGATTTTATCAAAAGTCTGGACTTTTTAATAACTGATTTTAACTGTTTAGTGAATGGGTAGAAGTAGTACCCCTGACTCATTCACAAGAGGGGGCGGCATCTGGGTGCACACCTTAATTAAAGGGGTACCCTGATGCAAATAAGCCCCCTTGCCCGCAAACCCCCACAACCATCGGGTCAGGGTTGTGGGGAAGAGGCCCTTGTCCCCATCGGCATGGGGACACCCTCCCCATGCCGAGGGCACGTGGCCTAGTAAGGCGCAGGTGGGGGGAGGGGTGGTCGCCCCCCCCCTTTCCTCCCCTGCCGGGCCAGTGCTCGGATCAAGGGTCTGGTAGAAATGTTAGGGGGGGACCCCACGGTTTTCTCTTTTTGGGGGGCTGTGGTTCCCCCTTAAAATTCCTACCAGACACCTAAAGGTCCTGGTATGGATTTTGGGGGAACCCCGTGTACTTTTTTTGTTTCAACTTGGGGGTGGGTCCCTCCTACCAGACCTAAAGGGTCTGGTATGAATTGGGGGGGCGGGGGCCTCACGCTGTTTTTTTCTCAGACTAAAAAGACTGTCATTTTGCTGCAGCGAGATTTTCGTCCAGATTACCGCTAACGAATTTTGTCCGAATCCCGAAAATAATTGAATTTCGGACCCGAAAAGCTAACGCAAATTCGGAATCAAAACGAAAATTTATTTTTGCCAGTGCCTCATGTCTAATTGCAACTAAAGAAAAAACAAAACTGTGGCGATCATGGTGACATTGGCAGCCCAGAATTTGTTGTACTTGTATAGGAGCTGCAGTCAGTTCTCCTGTATAAATGTAAACAAAACATGTGCAGAGCCTCCCCCTTCTATCTCCTCCCCCCAGCCAAGCCACTCCTCTTGCTGGCTTTGAAGCTGCAAACTCAGAGAAAAATGGCCATCCTGAGATCAATGTGGAGCTGAGGCGTTCAGTATTGCTACACAGTTGTGCACACCTATTGCTGATGTTTAAAAAAAAAAAAAAAGTTCCAGGTAACTTTATCATATGGTAGAGCTAACAATAGCCAGTCGTGTAGTGTAAACGGACATCTGTTATGAGAAGCATTTAATAAATGTTCATGTAAGGCAGGGGTAGCCAAACTCCGGCCCTCCAGCTGTGGTGAGACTACAAATCCCATGATGCATCTCTATCCGGGAGTCATGTCTGGCTGTGAGAATCTTGCAATGCCTCATGGGATTTGTATTTCCACCAGAGCTGGATGCCCGTAGTTTGGCTACCCCTGATGTAAGGTCTTGTTCACACCAGCACACAGGCTGTTGTCCACTGTATCAATGGTGCTTCGTGTTACAACGTAATGCACTGTTTACCCAACCCCCCCCTTTTTTTTTTTTTACTTTATTGAAATGTCACAGAATGACATTTCTTTTCTATGCACTGCAGCTCTGCTGTGGTGTAGTTCAGGTGCAGTTCATTGTGAAAAAATGCTGCGTTATATGCAGGACCTGTAGCTACCTGGGGAGAAAAACAAGTTGTTTTTTATTTTGGATGGGTGCAGGCCCCCGTGTACAAGAGCCCGAATAAGGTAAACAAGAGCCCGAATAAGGTAAACAGTGCAGGAATAACAAAATAGGGGTTTGCTAGAAACTCATTGGGGGGAATTTATCAAAAGTGGAGCAGCTAAAATCTGGAGCAGTTGTGCATGAGAACCAATCAGATTCTCTCCAGTTTGTTCAGTTAAGATTTGAAAATTTAAAGAGAGAATCTGATTTGTTGCCATTCAC